ACATGGCCAAGTGACCAACACGACCACAATAATCACATTTGTACACATAAGCATGTTTATGATTTACACTATGTGTGTGTACATGAGTATGTGATGATGAAGCTTGATGGGATGCACAATCATGTGTAGGCTTGTCAATTTTTGGTGCATTATGACAAAATTGAGCTAAATGGCCTTTAAGACCGCAAATAGAACATTTGTGAATTTTGTCATACATATGTGCATAGTGAATAGGTTTCTTGGAAGAATTAACATTAACCTTTGCACATAAGTCCATAAGCTTTTTATTATTAGCAATACAAGTATTTAGTGTTGAATCTAAGGTAGATATTCTTTTTCTCATTTGATTCAACTCATCATTGTGCATACAAGTATTGCTACTAGAAGTAGGATAAACAAGATTACTCATCATAGATTTTAACTTATCTACTTCTAACATAGCATCACGTTTTTCATGAAGCAAACTAACATTTTCAATTTTCAAATTTTCATTGCATTCTTTAAGAATTATATTTTCATTTGCAATAAAATTAAACTTAGTAGCTAGTGTTTCATGAATAGATTTTATATTAACATACTTACTTTTTACATCAATATAGCTATTGTGTAATTTTTCAAACTCAAGAGCAAGTTCATCAAAAGTAATAATATCATCGTTATCGCATACCTCACTAGGGTTACTACCTAGTGGTGTTGTACATGGGGATGAGGCTTCCTTAGAGCTCAAAGCGGGATTTTCCAACGCTTCTTGAATAGCCTCCAATTTTCCTTCATGTGCTTCAATAAGTTTCCATAAAGCATAAGCACTATCAAAATTAGCAAGTTTGTTAGAAAATGATGAGTGAAAAGCGCTAATCAAAAATCCTAACAAAAGCTTATTCATGTTAAACAATCTTTTGTCATTGTCACACCATTTTGATTTTTCCAAAATAGGAACAACATAAGCATCCTCAATAATTTTCCATAGATCAAATTGATTAGATTGAACGAAAAGTTTAAATCTAATACGCCATTGAGCATAGGGAAAAATATCCAAACGAGGAGCAATATTAATAGCATATCCTAAGCAAGATGAATCATTCATATCCATAGAGATGAAATGCAAGAGGCACAATAATCAAAATTAGATTAGCACTAGTAAGATAACTTGGATCTTTAACTCAAGGCGGTTAGTCCTTAAATCAAAGAGCACCAAGCTCTGATACCAATTGTTAGACCCTAGAGGGGGGGGGGTGATTAGGGTCTTATGCTAATCTAATCCCAATTAATAGCAATTAAAATTATGTTGATCAATATGTTCTTGCAAGAGATAGATATGAACAATAAGAACAATAAGAATATGCACAAATAAAATATGAGACAAGCAAAACACAAACACACGATATGTTTACGAGGTTCGGTCCCCACGACCTACGTCCCCGCTCCTCACCTCGAGGAGATATCCACTATCACAATCCGGTTTGGAAGCCGGAACTTCTACACACTCGGTTTACAAGTTCACCGAAAACTCTCACACTACACAATCACTCAACAATCACACTTTACACACTAAGTGTAGGAATCTAGCCCGTGTCCTCCTCCTCAAGTGCTCGATTACAACCTCTCCCTAGGTTCGTCAATCGACGCCACTCCTATTGGATTTGACCCCGTCTCTCTCTCCTCACACTTCTCTCGGTGTACAAGTGTATTACAAGTGATTCTCACAAATAAAAGTTAAATACAATGATTTGTTCTCAATTAACAAGTGAGAACACAATGAAGCTCACACTCACTAAATCCCACACCACAACCCACAATATAATATGAGAATATAAAGCTCAATAAGTGTGTGTGATAATAGTGAATGAAATACAATAAATATAACTCAATGAATATAGCTTAATCAATTGAAAGTGAAATAACAAGCTATATAAGAATGGGTTTAGAAAACTTCTCAATGAATAAGAAGAGCTGAGGAAATGATGATCTCAATAAGATTTGAAAGCCTCTTCTTGTTGTAGAAAAAACTTCTCTTGAAAACTGATTAACGAAACCAACTCTTAAACAGCTCTTAAACGGGATTAACAACTTGTTAAACAGCAAACTTGGATTTCTTGATTAATAGAGAAGAAGAGCAGCAATGGGGTATATATAGCACCCCATTGCAACAGCTAAAAATAAGAAAAAGACCAAAAAGCCCATTTGAAAAACTAGCCGTTAGGCTCAGTTTATCAGCTCGTCGGTCGACCGGTACGGTCGACCGATTAGTTCAAAAACCCAGAGAAAACATGTTTTGAAGCAGGCGGTCGACCGACGTGAATTTCGGTCGACCGAATGGATATTTCGGTCGACCGACGGAAATTCCGGTCGACCGGAAAATACTCAAAGAAATTCTCAGAAAACAGACTACCGTCGGTCGACCGTATCGGTCGACCGAAATCTGATATGAGCAAAAAGACAGGTTTTGGGTAAGTTTTGAGAATTCGTTAAAAATATCAATTCATATCCAAAAATAGTGAAACTTTGGGGAAAGTTTATAAATGATGAAATGAACATGTTTGAAAAGGAATTTTTGGAAAAACGAATTTCGTTTGTGAAAACTACCTGTTTTTGAAAAATAATTAGAAAACCTGTATTTTTATGAAAGTGAAAGTTTGATATAAGACTTGTAAATATTCATATATATATTGTGCATATATTATATGTACATAATAAAGTATGAGAGAGCTGTAAACAAGAGATAAAGGTATTTTAACAACGTTTAAAGAAAAATCATCTATATGATATAAAACGTCAAAAATATAATCATACTATATATGTAAGAAAACTGATCATATACCTAAGAAAACCCACGCAGATGAACTTGAATCTTTAACGCTGTGTTGAAATACCTGAAAAGAGAACATAAACACAAAACACTGGAAAAACGTATTAGTAATAAATTGTTTGTCAAATCATCATCAAAACTATAGGGTCAACAGCTCTGTACTCTTGCCTGAGTACAGAGACCGACCATTTCTGGGAGCTTTTACCGCTAGGGGGAGAGGATCATCTGCGTCAGGGTGATATGCGGGTCCTCAATCTTCTAGGGCAGTGATTACACGACTGCTTCCCGTCAGGCCTAATATTTTCTAACTTATATTATTTATTTCAGATTAATTGTTTATTTTATTTGGATTTATCTGCATGCTATAACCTTTAAAGTTGGTAAATTTCCAACACAATGAAGGAGAAATTAACAAGAGTAAAAGGCAACATGCGTTGATCAAATATTATGGCTCTACAAGCTCAAGCTCACGGTCTAATGGGGTTTAACAAATAGCCAAAATTAATTTCAAAAAAACCCAAATTTCTATAAGTCATACGAAATTACACCCAAATTATGAGGTTCCCTTTAGTTAACTCAAGTTAATCAGCCAACTAACCATCCAAATTCTGAGTTCTCCTCCATCTTCTCTTATTCTTTCGCTCTATATTTCAAATAATAGGAGAATTTGAGAAAATAGGGGCATCTGGAAACTAGAGAGATTGGAAATTTAGGGTTAGTAATTTACCCTCCATCCCTTGCCACACCATTAATTAAGGTCCACCTTAGCATTTCAAATCATTGCAATTGATTACACAGCAAGCACGTAAGGGGTTCACATAGGAATTCTCGTATGGAATAAAAGAAAAATTCTCCAATGACCTAAAATATGGGACCAACAGGGTGACATGTGAGGTGTCCCCCTCCTATTGCATAATGATGACTAGCTCATTATGCAATAGGAGGGGAACACATCATATGTCCTCCCTGTTGGTCTCATATTTTGGTCCATATATATAGCAAAGCACAGAATAAAATGCCTTAAAAGTAGCTCGAGCAACTTAAAACACTAGGGTACCGTTTGGCAAAGGGTTAAGTGAGGGGTTAAGGAGACTTAACCCATTCTTAACCTGCCAAACACAACAAATCTATATAAGGGTTAAAGTGAGTTAACCCTTCATAATTTGCCAAACATAAAAAATATAGAAGGGTTAAGTTAACCCCTCTAGAGGGGTTAAAATGAGTTAACCCCTCAAAATGAGGGGTTTACTAATACTCCTATTTAGATGCCTCAAAATGAGGGGTTTACTAATACTCCTATTTAGATGGAATAAGAGTTAACCCTTCTAATTATAAAGTAAATAGTCAAAATCATTGTTATTCCCAAACACTAAAACTGATCATATGGGCTAAAATAAAACTTATTTAACGGGTTAATAATTTAGTCCTTCGGATTATCAAATGGACTAAGTTCATTAATCATTCTCTTTAACCCCTCTTCATTAACCCTTTGCCAAACGGGGTCTATATTAATAAAGGGGGTCTAATTAGAATATCAATTTGATAACTTGGCCTATTCATATATGACTCCATATACTTTTAACACCTAGTCGCGATTAGCGTAATGCTTGATGTAACCGTATAAAAAGGTTATGACTCCATGTCACTTCCGACTAAAAGAGCCTAAACCGTCATAAAATGTATAGTGACTCGTAAGTGGAAATTATTTGAGTATCTGAGAATGATCACGCTTTGGAGTTGGTCAACAATGTTTACAGATAAAGAATGCCCATGAGTAGGTTAAATTAATCTTTCATCATGTTTGATGCTGTAGCCGAATTTGACAGAAGATACGTAACTAAGGCCTATTATTTTTATTTTTACTGATACGACCATTTATGTTTCTCTCTCTCTAATTACAAGCATAGCTATCTCAAAAACCCAACACGGCCAATATCATCTAATGCAATCTTATCTAACAAAATCTCACATGCTCTCCTGATATTTCATCTGCAAAAAAAAAAAGAGCTTTCGGTATCTCCGAACAAATTTTGCTACAAATTAAAAGCTCTCTGATTGGATGCATGTTATAATTCAGCAGATGAACAAGTTGTGAGACTTTCCTACATCTGTTATGTAGCTGAATAGATCTAGATTATTTAATCATCCGTCATTGCGCGATTATGTAGCCACTGAGTTATAGATTAATCAACAATTCAATAGATAGAGATGTGTTGCATATATGATACATTATTATTATTTCACAATGTAGAAATTTTATTACCTATTATAATAGAAATCTAGACAGAATAAATTACTCAATACCTTCAAACCAGAAGTTTTGATACAAAATGGAAGTATCACATCAGCACCGAAAACATAAAAATTCGACGAGGCCAAGTATATGCTCTTCTTGAAGAAATTAATTACAATTTTGGCACAAGACCATTGAGAGTATGACTTGCTAATTCCCTTCTCAAGATTTTTCCTGCAGGTGATCTGGGTATTGAGTTAACAAACAGAACATATCGGATTTTCTTATAAGGTGCAACCTGTAAAAAAAGAGAGAGAGAGAGAGAGAATAGGACATAGTTCTAATTAATCCACAAAACAACTTTTGCTTTTTCAGTTAGGATTAATTGAGGTTAAACTTTTAGTCCATACCGGATAACCCGTAAGCACATATTTTGTTAAGGGTTTTTTAATGAGCACCACCTTAAATATAGGTGAATTTGATACAAACCACCAAACCACCTTTATGTTTTTAATATAAACCACTATATATATGTGTTATCCTCTCAATATCACACCTTTGGGTAATTTCTGTGTTAAAAAATGAAATTACTATAATACCTCTCAGTTAGGGCTGAGCATGGTTCGGTCCAAACCAAAAAAACCGACCGAACCGATCCGAACCGACCAGAAAAAATCGATTTTATGAGTAGGGCGGTTCGGGTCGGGAACCAAAAAACCCGCCCGAACCGATCCGAACCGACCAGAAAAAATCGATTTTATGAGTAGGGCGGTTCGGGTCGGGTTGAAAACTTTTCAACCTGAACCGACCAAATATACTACAAGTCTTAGTCTGCAATTCTCAAACCCTACCCGACCCGTCCCCAACCCAAAGAGTCAAAGACTCAAACCCTAAAGGCCTAAACTAATTTCATCTCCCCCTAAAGGCCTAAACTCATTTCCTCTCCCAGCCGCCGCTCTTCATTTCCTCTCTCTCACTCAGTTCACTTCGCCTTATCTTTTCTCTATGGCGCTATTTCTCAAGCCTCACGCTTCGACCCCTCACTCCCAGATCCACTCTCTCCTAAAATCGCCACCCGATCGCTCTTCTCGATCGTCTTATGTCGCTGGGAACCCCGACCCTAGATGGAACATCCTCCAGGGAGCAGCTAGGGTTGTGGCCGTGCGCCGAATTCCATACTCTCTTCGCGGCGAGCAGGAGACAAATTAGCCCTCTCTCCAGGCTGGATTTTTCTATTTTTTTATGAATTTTGAAACTCAGGATGCTCTAAGATATAAGCATTTAGGGTTTTGTTGATCTTTTTATTTAGTTTGAGCGGAGGAGGAGGAACTTGTGGGCTATTAGGATTTAGGATCTCTTTGTCCGCACTTTTGCTGTAAGCATATATATAATAATGACCGAGATTGTGGTTGAGCTCTGTCACAATGAACAGAAATTTGATTTTTTATTTTGTACATGAGGTAGGAATATATGGACTTTGTGTCTAATGATGATGGTTGGTATTGGGGGGAGCTAAATTTGTAACTTTTTATGCAAATATTTATGTCGTGGTGTTAAATATTCCTTCCGACATCTATCTTCTTGTCCAAGCTTACATAATTACTAATATTTGTTGACATATTAGTATTATTAGGGACTTATTTGTAAGTTTTGTAGGGGCCTATATAAAGCCCAAGAGATCTCATAATGTATTAGGGTTTTCATTCACTTTATGGTATCAGAGCCGGCTGCCCCCCCTCTCCTCTTCCTAGCCGGCTTGCCCCCTTCCCGTGCTCAGTCAGCCACCGCCCCCACCCTTCGACTCGGCGAGACGACCCCCACAGACGCCTGCCCGACCAGCCGCACCGTACCCCTCCTCTGCCCGATTCCCCAGCTCGGACCCCCTCGTCGCCGTATCCCAGCTGACCCTCGAACCGCCATGACCCCTCGTAACCGCCCCACTGCGGAACCCCGCCTCTCGAACCCCCCCGCCGACCCTATGCCGAACCCCCCCCCCCAAACAGACCCCGAACCCCCTCCGCTGACCCCTCTAGCCGCTAGCCACCTCGAGCCCTCCTGCTGCGCTATGTCAGACCTAGAGTTTGGCATGGGATCCCAGCGACTCAGTCCTCGAACTGGATGACAAGAAGAGTTTATATCTCACATCGATGAGATTATATAAACTGTGTTTGGTTCTTGTTTCCTCTGAGAAAACGAGAATTTTTTTTTTGAGAATCCTACTCTTGTTCGTGGCAGCAGAGGGTGCTGCCGAAATTTTTACTGCACGCACAACAAGAGTCGGAAAGAGAAAGGTGAACAGGTAGTGGGTCTGAAGGCCTATTCGATGGAGGAGATCATCAAAGAAGTGAACCCGCGGAGGTGTCAATTTGATGAAGGCTAATGAAATTGTCGGCTGGTGAGTAGTAGCGATCAAAACCGAATCGAAGAAGTTGGAGGCTTCCGACATCGATCTGAAGCTTGATGGACGAGTACTTACCTGAGCTGGTCGCGACGGGTGAGTCATCACCCTTGCGGGCAGCGAACCTGGAGGGTTACTTGACAGGAGAGGCGACAGAACCGGAGGACTCGGAGGGAAGAGATGAGTGGAAGACCACTCATATGTTGGTGTACATCTGGCTTCTCAACTCGTTGGTCCCGACGATCGCCGCCACGGTAGATGGCATTGAGAAGGTGAAGGACGTCTGGGAGAAGTTAAGAAGGACGTATGATGGAGTGGGGAATAACCTGCGGGTATTCCAGATTAAAGGAGAGATCGACGCCACAGTCCAGGGTGAAAGGACTGTACAGGAATATGCTACAGAGTTGGAACGCCTGTGGCTGGATTATGATCATTTCTCTCCCCGGGCTAGCTGCAAGGACCCGGGATGTAAAGAGCGGGAGGCCTTTCTACAGGAGAGGACTATGGTGTTTCTCAAGGGATTGACATCAGAGTTCGCTCAGCGAATTGCATTGCTCCTAGCTCAGCCGAAGATTCCCACGCTTGAGGAGGCTGTCTCTGCTATGATCCAGGAGGAGACTCGCATTCGGCTGCAGGCGGGGACAGGTGGACTTCCTGTGGTGAAGTCAGCACTGGCAGCCTCTAGCAGCACTGGATCTAGGGGAGAGACCCGACAGTGCTATAACTGCGGTGCGGTGGGTCATCTACGGCATGCTTGCACCAAGCCATCCAAGGATGGAGATTCGGGTGGACGTGGACAGTTCGGAGGTCGTGGTCGTGGCCGTGGGGGTCGACGTGGTGGAAGAGGAGCAGGGAATCGGGCAAATCTGACAGTAGCAGAAGAAGAAGAAGCTGAGGTGGTCTTTACAGAGGAGGATCGTGCTCTCCTCACGATACTCAGGAAAAAACAGCAAGTAGCAGGGGATGGAGATTTGAGGAATGGGACTGCGGAGGCATCTACTTCGTTCTTCGTCAGAGGCAACACTGCTACCTATGCTCATCCGAACAAAGGTACTGATGACATACATGCTCTTGCTTCTATGTCTCCCGACAGATCATCAGAGTGGATAGTCGACTCCGGTGCATCTCGCCATGTGACAGGTAATGCTAGTGAGCTCTCATCATATACTCACTTAGCATCGCCTGATAGTATTCAAACAGCTGATGGTACATTTCAGCCGGTGGTTGGTAAGGGTACAGTCGATTGTACTGGTTCTGTAACTTTGTCCAATGTTTTGCATGCTCCTTCCTTTCCAGTCAATCTTTTGTCCATTAGTTCTATCATCCTCCAACTAAAATGCATTGTTTCTTTTGATATTCCCAAGGTAATTTTCCAGGAGAAGGGGACAGGGCGGAGACTTGGGACTGGCACATGGCGTAGTGGACTGTGGTATCTGGATCGTGAAGGGCTGGATTCAGCATTGGTGTCAGTCATAGAGGAAGCAGGAGTAGGATCTAAAATGAGTGCTGAAAATGAGTTAATGCTCCATCACCAGCGTTTGGGACACTCATCCTTTAGTGTTTTAGGTAGATTGTATCCTTCTTTATTTGAGAAAGCAAATAAACAGAAACTTGTGTGTGATGCATGTGAGTTTGGAAAGCTTACTAGAAGCTCTTATGTTAGTTCTGGTCATAGAAGTTCTCATGTATTTGACTTAGTACATTCAGATGTTTGGGGACCTTGTTCCACAAGTTCTATGAATGGATACAAATATTTTGTTACATTTATTGATTGCTTCTCTCGTGTTACTTGGTTATACCTGATGAAGAATAAGAGTGATGTGTTTGGGTGCTTCCAAAATTTTCATAGGACTGTTCAGACCCAATACGGAGCAGTGGTGAAAGTATTGAGGTCAGATAATGGGACAGAGTATACCAATAGAGCCCTTGAAGAATATTTGTCAGCTCAAGGAATACATCACCAGACAACCTGTCCATACACACCAGCACAGAATAGGGTAGCGGAAAGGAAGAACAGACATCTTTTAGAGGTTGCTAGAAGCATGATGATCTCTATGAATGTCCCAGAGACATTATAGGGACAAGCAGTATTGACCGCAGCAGCGTTGATCAACAGAATGCTCTCGAGAGTGCTGGATTGGAAGTCTCCGTGTGAGATATTGAAGGGAGATAATGGTGGGATCCTTCCACTCAAAGTGTTTGGCTGTGTGTGTTTTGTGAAGGACAACAGGCCGTCTGTCGGGAAGCTTGCCCCTAGAGCTGTGAAGTGTATCTTTGTGGGATATTCTGCTACTCAGAAGGGATATGTTTGCTGGAGCCCGGTGGAAAAAAGGTTGTTTGTGAGCATGGATGTGCACTTTCGAGAACTTGAGCCATATTACACCCAGAAGGTAACTTCATCTGCTGGTAACTCGCCCAATACTAGAAGTATGGGGCGAGAGGAGGAGAATGGTGAGAGACCGGAGAACAATGTGGAGAAATCCATTTCTGTAGTGATTCCTTGGGAGGGAGAGTTGGTTGAGGAGGAGCAGGAGAATCACGAAGAAAAGGAAAATGAGACAAGAGGTGTTAGGCCCACTGTTCAGGGGGAGCTACTAACCTATAGTAGGAAGGGCAAACAAATTGCAGGAGCAGTACCTACAGTGCCACTAGTGCTGCCAAGTCTCTTGCCAACGCCTACCCTAACTCCTGAAATTCCTACACCATCACCAATTTCATCCCAAGGTGATAACATTCCTACTGATAACATTCCTCTCCTTACTCCTCCCACACCAATATCAGTACGGAGGACTACTCGCAGTAATGCGGGACATCCTCCCGATAGATATGGTTAGGATCTTGCCCAATTTGTATCATATTCTAGTATCCACCCTAGAGAAGAACCGCACTTGGGAGCTAGTAAAGTTACCAGAAGGAAAGAGAGCAGTTGGATGCAAGTGGGTCTTCACTGTGAAGCAGAATCCAGATGGACAAGTTGAGCGCTACAAGGCTCGCCTGGTGGCAAAAGGGTATAGTCAGACATATGGCATCGATTATGATGAGACTTTTGCACCGGTGGCGAAGATGAGCACTGTTCGGACCTTAATCTCTCTGGCAGTAAATGGTGGATGGAAGCTACACCAACTAGATGTGAAGAATGCATTTCTTCATGGAGATCTAGTGGAGGAGGTATACATGGAGATACCACCAGGATTTGGTACAGATCAGACAGTGGGAAAGGTCTGCAGATTGAAGAAGTCTCTCTATGGTCTGAAGCAATCTCCCCGTGCTTGGTTCGACAGATTCAGAAGGGCTATGATTGGTATGGGATACCAACAGATCAACGCCGACCATACAGTGTTCTTTCGACGGAGTGGAGGCCACATTACTATGCTTGCGGTATATGTGGATGATATGATTATTACAGGGGATGATGAGAAGGAGATTGCCCAACTCAAAGTGAGACTGGGTAAGGAATTTGAGGTGAAAGATCTTGGCTTGCTTAGATACTTTCTTGGAATAGAGATAGCTCGAGGAGCGGAAGGGATCATCCTATCCCAGAGAAAGTATGCACTGGATCTTCTCAAAGAGACAGGAATGTTAGGGTGCAAACCTGCAACTACACCGATCGACCAGAGGTTCAAGCTAGGTGCTGAGGCTGGAGAACCAGTTGATCGTGACAGATATCAGAGGTTGGTGGGAAGGCTGATCTATTTGAGTCACACACGTCCTGATATCTCCTTTGCAGTAAGCGTGGTGAGTCGCTACATGCACGATCCGAGGAAGGGTCATATGGACGCTGTGTACCAGATTCTGAGATATTTAAAGAGTGCCCCCGGAAAGGGGCTGATATTCAGAAAGAATGGACATGTGAACATCGAGGGTTATTGCGACTCTGACTGGGCTAACTGTGCTGATGACAGGAGGTCCACCTCAGGATACTGCATCTTTATAGGAGGTAACTTAGTCTCATGGAAGAGCAAGAAGCAGTCAGTGGTGGCGAGATCGACAGCTGAGGCAGAGTATAGAGCTATGGCCTTAGGAGTTGCTGAGTTGCTATGGTTGAAGAGTATGCTGGTGGAGCTGAAGCTGGATCAAGGAGCTAAGATGAAGTTATGGTGTGACAACAAGTCAGCTATCAGTATTGCCAACAACCCAGTGCAGCATGATAGAACCAAACACATCGAGATCGATAGGTTCTTCATCAAAGAGAAGTTGGATAGTGGACTACTGGAGCTAAGTCATGTTTCGACTAAGGACCAGGCAGCAGATTGTCTGACTAAAGGACTCATCTCAGTAGATATGATTAGAGGATGTCACAAGATGGGCTTAATAGATATCTTTCGCCCATCTTGAGGAGGAGTGTTGACATATTAGTATTATTAGGGACTTATTTGTAAGTTTTGTAGGGGCCTATATAAAGCCCAAGAGATCTCATAATGTATTAGGGTTTTCATTCACTTTAATATTTCATCACCGAGTATCGGGAGCTGATGAAGTTAGAACCGAACAAACCGAACCGAACCGCACCGAACCGACTTGTAACAGTTCGATTCGGTTTTGAATTGTAGGCGGTTCGGTTCGGTTGTTCAAATTTTGGTAAAAATCAAACTGAACCGAACGATGCTCACCCCTACCCTCAGTCTAACCAAATAAAAAAGAGAGGAGGAGAGAAAGAGAGGGGGAGGCGAAGTTGTCAGATGGATGTCATGAGAGAGAGAAGGGGAAGGAGGTCGCTGGCGGTGAGATTAAGAGACGAGAGGAGGAGAAGAGGTTGAGAATGGAGAGAGGAGCGTTGAAGGGGAAGGAGAGGAGGAGAAGAAGAGGCAGATGTAGGAGCGCAGAATGGAGGACTGAGAATTGGGGGGGGGGGGGGGGGCGAGACGGGGGTAAAAGGATGATTTTTAAAAAACTTATGCCTAACATATGACAGAGCGTGTGACATTGAGAGAATAACCATATACAATGGTGGTTTGTTATTTAAAAAACATTGTATCAATGTGTCACTCTATTATATTAAGGTAGTTTCCTACGAAAAACACTTTTGTTAAGCCTCTTTTTGTTGTTTGTGTGTGTGGTGTGCGGGGGTGGGGGGGGGCCGGGGATTAAAGTGCTATTCTTGCGACAATTGCAACATTTCTGCAATTCGAAGAAATTCATAATATTTTTCTTTGTATAATAAGTCCATGTAAAATGCTAAAATCTGAATAAGATAAATGATAATTGTAATTCCACGGAATAGACCAAATTTAGTTGGATGCATAAAAATATGACTTAGTGAATTTCTATGTGCTAATAGTTTGAATTTGAATCTACTACACGTGGTTTTGCCTCAATACTAATAACTTATCAGAATTCATATATATTATAAAGAATACATTATCCATTATAGAGACTAACTAATAAATTGTAATATAATAAAGATTAAAATAATATATTAGTTCAAATTTTACCAATTTGTTTGCAAAATGTCATCTTTTTACGTGGATTACATTTTGAGAATATATCATGAAATTTAGCCATTTCAAAAATAATTAACTTTTGGTTAAAAAAAATATGATGAGTTATTAAAAGTTCCCCATTTTCATAATTGTTTTGTGAATAGAGATGTAATGCATAACTTTATACCTTTTTGTATTTTAGTGTGCGAATTACCTGCTTTGCAACATAATCAATAATATGTGCTTGATTTAGATTGCTTCCAGGTTTCTTCACCACACAGGCCATGGGTAGCTGTCCCACTTCTTCATTAGGAAACCTGTACAAAATTATGAATACAAAAAATGATACAAAGAAAAATAATTTACAAATTTCTACTTATTTAATGATTAATTTTCAAATTTTAAGAATATAGTTTTCAAACTCTGAAAAGCTTATTGAGGTTACTAATATGTAAGTATAGTCTCACATTAGATAGGATAAGAAAGAGTGAAAGTAGGAGTTAGGGTCAATACCTCTAATGGCTATAGTTTTTGGGTTAAAATTGATTACTAGCCTTTGTTTAAAGCATACCAACTCTAGATTGAGCCTAATCATTCCCAAGTAAATGGTATCAGAGCTAAGGTTGTAGCCCAAACAAAAGGTAAAGTCCGATGTGAAGCCTAAAGATAACAAGTGAAGTGGTCATTTCAAGTTAACCCACTGATGCCCGTAGGAGTATTATAGTCTAATTAGTTGTCATGAGTACCATAAGTGGTGGAGGATCCTACGACTGTTTGCTAGCTATTTGCTGAATGCATGGTTTTGTTAGCCCACGAGTAAAGTGGTGTAAAAGTTAGCAAATCATGCGGAAGATTGAAGTATAGTTCAAGATTGAACCGTACTCACAAATTAAGGAGAAGTTGTTGAGATCATTTATATATGAGTATAGTCCCACATTGGATAAAATAGGAAAAAGTGAAGAATTTAAAGTAAGAGTTGGGGTCAATATCTATTTAGCTATATTTTTTGGATTAAAATTGGTTTCTATCTTCTATTTAAAGCTCATTAACTCTAAATTGGGCCCAATTTCTCCCCAACAAAGCTTACAAGTTATGTAAATGCTATGATGTGTTATTGCACTCTAGTACCCTAAAGTTTATATAGTTTTTAGCTTTAATACTTCAAAAAGATTTTTGATACCTCAAAAAGCTTTTTTGATATCTTGATACCCTAAAGATGATACCTTTTTGACTTTGATATACACCAAAACTTTATTCTAACACTTTAATACCCTAAAGTTGACAAACTTTTTTACTTTAATATCTGTTATACCCTAGAAATTACCGAGCCTAAGAAGAGTGGCCACTAATAACTAGCTGGTTCATACATAATAAGCTGGCTAACTCTCTTCGTGATCCAAATCCAAGACGAAAGGCGCTTTCGACTCGGATTTTGCTAGATGCCCGACTTTGAGAAGAACGGTGCTCTCCACTCGAACCTAATACAATGCATCTCGAACAGTGGAACAACTTGATAAGCGTCATCAAAAGTCACACTACATTTAATGAATGTTTAGTCAGCGCCTGCACTTCGCTACACAATCGCCATCAATAATTAATGCGGGTCATAGTCATAATGACCTTTTGAACCAGAGCCATCAAATCTCCTCTGACACGCCATTACTTTAACAATCCATCACTATACAAAGGAGACTCAACCAATCAATTGTTGGCATGTGTAAAGTGGTGTATGAACCAGAACTGCACACCTTTGACTACAATTACCAACGTGCCCTCGTAACCCTCTATAAATAATGGTGATTTCTACTAAAATAAGGGACACAATTTTACATATAAAAAGTCGTCAAGACTATACTCTATTTTTTGCTTCAAATTAACTAGAAATAGTCACTGACTTTAGTATCAGAATGTACACTGGAGAAATCAACATTTGGTACGTCTAACCGCTGTTACTTGTGTAGCGAATTACATATCAAGACCCTCAATTGAAGATTAACCATCAAAGGCGATTAAGGGATCCAAAAATCTAATTTAACTTTCCTAAATCACACCTCTCAACTTTCTAACATCTACAGTTTGGTGTATACTGTGTGGCCTCTTCTTAACCTTTTGAGGAATGGTTGGTCTTCAGTTCTAACTTATAGAAAAGCGATCAACTCCAACTATGTCGGATAAATCGGCCAACAAGAATCAATCGAGTTCAGTCGTGCCTATCCGCTCAATTTCCTCCATCACCTGTTGTCCTTCTCGAAGAAAAGTGAACTACGGTTAAAGCAGGAGGAGCCGATTAGGGAACATATTTCCCTATCGCTAACAACATGCTTCAGCATTCAAAAAATAGGTACTAGGAGACTACGTGAGCCTTTTCTTACTAACTTAGGAGTGGCCCACAAAGCTTCCGCGGGAGAGACACCATAGCATATGGAGTGGGAGCAGTCATCCCAACAGGTGTTGCCACGCCTGCTCTGTGATCACCAACCAACCACAAGCTAGCACTGCGACAGCCAATCCCTCGTCATGGAAAGCTCGTCGATAATAAAAAAGAACGTTGCCCGATAAAATGCAGAACGTAAAGCTAAAAGAAAAGTCTTAGAAATCCAAAAAAGTGTAAAACAATTTGGGATTAAATATAAAACCACTTTAGTAGTAGAGAATGCTATGCTTTTTTGGCTAATCTGTATGCAAGCCCTTGCAACTTGATCTTCATCAACTCTGCAATAATCACCAAACCCTTATTGTCTTTTCATAGTAAAACCAAGGCACGTACTAAGCCCTTACTATTGTCTCACGAGTAAAACCAAGACATGAAGTTCTTGCCGCTCGATCTTCATCGACTTGGCAACAATCACCAAAGTCCTTCGTATCTTTTCAGAGTAAAACCAATGCACGTCCCAAGCTCTTGGTATTGTTCCCACGAGTAAAACCAAGGCACAAAGCTCTTATTGCTCGATCTTCATCAACTTAACAATAATCACCAAAGCCCTTGGTGTCTTTTTAGAGTGAAATCAAGGCACGTACCAAGCCCTTGGCATCGTTCTGACGAGTAAAACCAAGGCACAAAGATCTTATCACTTGATCTTCATCGACTTGGCAACAATCGCCAAAGCCCTTAGTGTCTTTTCTAAATAAAACCAAGGTACATACCAAGTCCTTAGTATCATTCTTACGAGTAAAACCAAGGCACGAAGCTCTTACCACTCGATCTTCATTGACTCGGCGACAATCATCAAATCTCTTGGTGTCCTTTCAAGATAAAACCAAGACACACGCTAAGCCCTTAGTACTATTCTCACAAGTAAACTAAGACACAAAGCGCTTGCTGCTCAATCTTCATCGACTTGGAAACAATCACTAAAAATCCTTGGTATCTTTTTAGAGTAAACCAATGCACATACCAAGCCCTAGGTATCATTCTCATGAGTAAAACCAAGGCATGAAGCTCTTGCCGTTCGATCTTCATCGACTCGGTAATGATCACCAAAAGCCCTTCGTGTCTTTTTAGAATAAACCCAAAGCATGGTGAGGATCCCTCATCACTCAGTCTTCACCGACGTGCCCAAAAGATGAGAACAATCCTCACCAACTCGTTTAAAAACGTCTCAAAAGTCAAAAGCACAAATGGGAAACAACTCATAAACTAAGTACAAAAGAATGAGTCAACAAAAGAATGTCTTTATCATTCATTTGCAAAAAATTTACAAGATCTTCTTACAAAGAGTCAAGAAAAAATATTCTTTTTAGGGAGTTGTATCTAAGGCATCGATTGGAGGCGAATTCAAACCATGAGCATTTGAAGGAGGGGAATTGGGATTATCAGATGAGGAAGGGCCATCATCATGGTTAAGGCCCTCACCAGCATCTCAGCCAACAGCCTCCTCAGCTTCCCCTTCGTCGACAGCATCCTTGTCCTCTTGCAATATCCCTAGCCCGCCTTACACCTCGAGCATATTGAGAACATTGAGGCAATTGGCCACTCAGGAATGATACTTAATTTGTCTCGGGGGCGTTGCACACCAGTCAGCAGTCACCAACCGTCTTCACATAGAAATGGCCCTCCCTCCTACTGGATTTGATGCACATCAAGTGACCTAGCATGCCTAGCATCGGTCTGACATCTACATGGTAGCAGATGACGAGGAAGGCCACCAAAAAAGCAATGGAGTTCGGTGTCAACTATGCCAGTACAACCCCCAAAGTTCAGAAGACCTTGAAACATGCACATCGCCAGATGAAGGCCGTAGTCGAGATGATGCCAGTACAATGGCGCCAAACCCCTACTTGTTATGATAAATAGACTGGTCCCTTGATGGAGCCAATAATGTATATGCACTGGGGATGTCAAAATTCTGGGCGTACTGCTCCAAGTAGCATGTAAGCACCTTCAAGTGATACTAACATAATAAGGCGATTCTGGCCTCATTGCGAGCTATAGTAGGTTGAGCACTGGAAGCCATCGGACAGAAGAAGAGATGGTTTAGTACAACGAAATTTCTAATTTCTAAGAAGAAGATGCGCTCACAAATGGAAAAGTAAGAGTTCTGCAAAGTAAGGAGGAGCAGAAGAAAGAGAAGCAATATATATAAGTAAAAGGAGATGACACATGGCAAGAAACAGATAATTGGCACAGTTACGGGAAAGTCACTGACGGTTTTCAAAAACCAAAATGACATCTTGTCAAATGAGGTTCCACTCCGTCAAACCGCTGCACAATCCCTGCTGACGTCAGAAATGTTAAATCACAGCGGTCTTCAAACACGGACGGACCAGGTTCGGGCATCAGTCCGACTTGTTTTCTCTCAAATTTGACTTTCCATGTCTGAGTGAAAATGGGCCAATCTTATACCCTGAAAATTACCTAGCCTAATAAGAGTAGTCATGTAGTAACTAACCGGCTGACTCCCAATGCATCTACAATCACAACCTGAATGATAAGCCAACCAATCCATCTTGAGATCCAAATCTGAGACGAAAGGCACTTCCGACATGGATACTGCTGGATGTCTGACACTAAGATGAAGAGCGTTTTCCACTTGGACCCGACACAACACACCTCGAACAAGAACAACATGACAAGCATCATCAAAAGTCACGCTGCATTTAATGAATGTACACTCAGCACCCTACTTCGCCGCCTAGTCGCCATCAACAATTAATGAGGAGTTAGAGTCATAATGACCTTTCGAGCTAGAGCCTTTAAAACTCCTCGAACATACCATTACTCTAAAAGTCCCGTCACTATACAAAGGTAACTCAGCCAATCAATTGCTGGCACGTGTAAAGTAGGATATGAACCAGAACTGCACACCTTCAGCCAAAATTACCAACGTGCCCCCTTAAACCTTCTATAAACAATGGTGATTTCTACCAAACCAAGGTACGCAAATTTACATATAGTCAACAAGGCTATGCTCTATATTTCTCTTCAGATTAAGTAGAAACAGACACCGACTTGAGCGTCGAGGGGCACGCTGAGGAAACAATCTCCAGCGCCTCTAACCTCTGTTACTTGTCTAGCCAAGTACAAATCAAGACCCTCAACTGAAGATTAACCATTAAAAGCGATTAAGAGATTTAGAAATCAAGTTTAACTCTCCTAAATCACGCCTCAACTTTCTAACATCAACAATATCCCAAAGATTTGTTGTCAACATTTTGATGCCCCAATCTGGAGATCAAAGTTAAAAATATGTGTAAATGTTGGGTATCAAAATTCAAAAGAGTATAAACTTTAGGGTATCCAAAACGTAAATAATCCTAGTGTAAATGAACTTTTACTATGTGATACTTACGGGATCACAGCTGCATCAACAATATCAGGTAGAGATACAAGTATCTGCTCCAATTCAACGGGTGAAACCTGCAACATTATCCAAAAGCCCATTCGAACTATCTTATATCATATAATTAAATCATTGATTC